AGAAAGAGAAAAGAGAGAGAAAGAAGAGAGAGAAGAAAGAAAAAAAAAAAGAAAAGAAAGAAAGAAAGAAAAAGAAAAAAAGAGAGAGAGAAGAGAAAGAAGAGAAAGAGAAGAGAAAAGAGAAGAAAGAAAGAGAGAAAAAAAAAAAGAAAAAAGAAGAAAAAAGAAAGAAAGAAAAAAAAGAAAGAAAAAAGAAAAAGAGAAGAAAGAGAAGAAGAGAAGAAAGAAAAAGAGAGAAAAGAGAGAAAGAAAGAGAAGAGAAAAAAAAAGAGAGAAAAAGAAAGAGAGAGAAAAGAAAAAAGAGAGAGAGAGAAGAAAGAAAAAGAAAAAGAGAGAGAAAGAGAGAGAAAAGAGAAGAGAAAAAAAAAAAAAAAGAGAAAAAAGAAAGAAAGAAAGAAAGAAAAAAAGAGAGAAAAAAGAAAGAAAAAAAAGAAAGAGAGAAAAAAGAGAGAAAAGAAGAAAGAGAGAGAAGAGAGAGAAAGAAAAGAGAGAAAAGAAGAAAAAAAGAGAGAAGAGAAGAGAGAGAGAGAGAGAAAAAAAAAGAGAAGAAAGAAAAAAGAAGAGAGAAAAGAGAGAGAAAAAGAAAAGAAAGAGAAAAAGAAGAGAAAGAAAAGAAGAGAGAGAAAGAAAGAAAAGAGAGAGAAAAAAAGAAAGAAAAAGAAAAAAAAGAAAGAAAGAGAGAGAGAGAAAAAAAAGAAGAAAGAGAGAAAGAAAGAAAGAGAGAGAAAGAGAGAGAAAAAAAAAAGAGAAAAAAGAAAAAGAGAGAAAGAAAAAAAAAAAAAAGAAAAAGAAGAGAAAAGAAAAAAGAAGAAAAGAGAGAAAAGAAAAAAGAGAGAAAAGAGAGAAGAAAGAAAAGAGAGAGAGAGAAAAAAAAAGAAAGAGAAAGAAAAGAGAGAAGAGAAGAGAAGAGAGAAAAGAAAAAAAAAGAAAGAGAGAAGAGAAAAAGAGAGAAAAGAGAGAAGAGAGAGAAAAAAGAAAGAAAGAGAAAAGAGAAAAGAGAAAGAAAAGAAAAGAAGAGAAAGAAAGAAGAAGAAAAAGAGAAAAAAAGAGAGAGAAAAAGAGAAGAGAGAAGAGAGAGAGAAAAAAGAAGAGAGAGAAAAAGAGAAGAGAGAAGAAGAGAAGAAAGAAAAAAAAAGAAAAGAAAGAAAGAAAAGAAGAAGAGAGAAGAGAGAAAAGAGAGAAGAAAAAGAAAAGAGAAAAGAGAGAGAAGAGAGAAGAGAAGAGAGAAGAGAAAAAGAAAAAAGAAAAAAAGAAGAGAGAAGAAGAAAAAAAAAAGAGAGAAGAAGAGAAAGAGAAGAAAAAAAGAAAAAAAAGAAAAGAAAGAAGAAAGAAAGAAAAGAGAAGAAAAGAAAAAAAAGAAAAGAGAGAGAAAAAAAAAAAAAAAGAAAAAAAAGAAGAGAGAGAGAAGAAGAAAAAGAGAGAAAAAAAGAAAAGAGAGAGAAGAAAGAAGAAAAGAAAAAAAAAAAAAAAAAGAGAGAGAGAGAAGAAAAGAGAGAAAGAAGAAAAGAAAAAAAAAGAGAAAGAGAGAAGAGAAAAGAAAGAAGAGAGAGAAAAAGAAAAGAAGAAAGAAAAAAAGAAAAAAGAAAGAAGAAAGAAAAGAAGAAAAAAAAAAGAAGAAAAAAGAAGAGAAAAAGAAGAGAGAAAGAAAGAAAGAAGAAAGAGAAAAGAGAGAAGAAGAGAAGAAGAAAAAGAGAGAAAAAAAAGAAAGAGAAAAAAGAAGAGAGAAAAAAGAGAAAAAGAAGAAAAAAAAAAAGAGAAGAAAAAAGAAGAGAGAAGAGAAAGAAAGAAAGAAAAGAGAAAAAAAAAAGAGAGAGAAAGAAAGAGAAGAGAAGAGAAAAAAAAAAAAAGAAAAAAAGAAAAAGAAAAGAGAGAGAGAAAGAAAAGAAGAAAAGAGAGAGAGAAAAAGAGAAAAAGAAGAGAAGAGAGAGAAGAGAAAAAAAAGAGAAAAAAAAAAAAAGAAAGAGAAGAGAAAGAGAGAGAAGAGAAAAAAGAAAAGAAAAAGAAAAAAAAAGAGAGAAGAGAGAGAAAAAAAGAGAGAAGAAGAGAGAGAAGAAAGAGAGAAAAAAAGAAAGAGAAAAAGAGAGAGAAGAGAAGAGAGAAAAAAGAAAGAGAGAGAAAAGAAAAGAGAGAGAAGAAAAAAGAGAGAAAAAGAAAAGAGAGGAAAAGAAAAGAAAAAAAGAAGAAAGAAAGAAAAAGAGAAGAGAGAGAGAGAGAAAAAGAGAAAAAAAGAGAGAGAAAGAGAGAGAAGAAAGAGAGAAGAAAAAAAAAAAAAAAAAAAAGAAGGAAAAAGAGAAGAGAAAGAAAAAAAAGAAAAAAAGAGAAAAAAGAAAGAAAAGAAAGAAAAAAAAGAAGAGAAAGAGAGAAAGAGAAAAAAGAGAGAAAAAAGAAAAGAAAGAGAAAAGAAAAAGAGAAAAGAGAAAGAGAAGAGAAGAAAAAAAGAAGAGAAAGAAAGAGAAAAGAAAGAGAAAGAAAGAAAAAGAAAAGAAAGAAAGAAGAAGAGAGAAAAGAAGAGAGAAAAAGAGAAGAGAAGAAAGAGAAGAAGAAGAAAAAAGAAGAAAAAAGAAGAGAAAAAGAGAGAAAAAAGAAAAAAAAGAGAGAGAAGAGAAAAAGAAGAAAGAGAGAGAGAGAGAGAAAGAAGAAAGAGAAAAAAGAGAAGAAGAAAAAGAAAGAGAAAAGAGAGAAGAGAGAGAAAGAGAGAAAGAGAGAAAAAAGAAGAGAGAGAGAAGAAAAGAGAAGAGAAAAGAAAAAAAGAAAGAGAAGAGAAGAAGAAAAAAAAGAGAGAGAGAGAGAAGAAGAGAGAAAAAGAGAGAGAAAAGAGAGAAAAGAAAGAGAGAGAGAAGAAAGAAAGAGAGAAGAAAAGAAGAAAAAAAGAAAGAGAAGAAAGAGAAGAGAAGAAAAGAAGAGAAAAAAAGAAAGAGAGAGAAAAGAAGAGAAGAGAAAGAGAAAAAAAAAAGAGAGAGAGAGAAAAGAGAAAGGAGAAAAGAAAGAAAAAGAAAGAGAGAGAAAAAAAAGAGAAGAAAAAGAAAGAGAGAAGAGAAGAAAGAGAGAGAAGAGAAAAAAAAAAAAGAAAGAAGAGAAAGAGAGAGAAAAGAAAGAAAGAAGAGAAAAGAGAGAAGAGAGAGAAAGAGAAGAGAAAGAAAGAGAAAGAGAAAAAGAGAGAAAAAAGAGAAGAGAGAAAAAAAAAAAAAAAAAGAAAGAGAGAAAGAGAAGAAAAAGAAAGAGAAGAAGAAAAGAGAGAGAGAGAGAGAGAAGAAGAAGAGAGAAAAAGAGAAAAAGAAAGAGAAGAAGAAAGAGAAGAAAAGAAAAAAAAGAGAAAGAAGAGAGAGAAAAGAAGAGAAAAAAAGAGAAGAGAAAGAGAGAAGAAAGAAGAAGAAGAAAAGAAAGAGAGAAAAAAGAGAAAGAGAGAGAGAAAAGAGAGAAAAGAAGAAAAGAGAAAAAGAGAGAAAGAAAGAAGAGAGAAAAAAGAAAAAAGAAAGAGAAGAGAAAAGAGAGAGAGAAAGAAGAAAAAAGAGAAAAAGAAGAAAAAAAAGAGAGAGAGAAGAGAAGAGAAGAAAGAGAAAAGAAAGGAAAGAAAGAGAAGAAGAGAGAAAAGAGAAAGAAGGAAGAGAGGAAAAAAAAGAAAAGAAGAAAAGAAAAAGAAGAGAAGAAGAGAAAAGAGAAAAAAGAAAGAGAAAAAAAAAAGAGAAAAGAAAAAGAAGAAGAGAGAAGAAAAGAGAAAGAAAGAAAGAGAAGAGAAAAGAGAGAAAAGAAAGAAAGAAAAGAGAGAGAAGAAAGAAAAGAGAAGAGAAAAAAGAGAAAAAGAAGAAAGAAAAGAAAAAAGAGAAGAGAAAGAAAAGAAGAAAAAGAGAGAGAGAGAAAGAAGAGAGAAAGAAAAGAGAGAGAAGAGAGAAAAAGAGAAGAGAAGAAAAAAGAAAGAGAAGAGAAAAGAAAGAGAAAGAAAGAGAGAAGAAAAGAGAGAGAGAAGAGAAAAAGAAAAAAGAAGAAGAGAAAGAGAGAGAAAAGAAAGAAAGAGAAAAAAGAAGAAGAAGAAGAAAAGAAAGAGAGAAGAGAAAAGAGAGAAGAAGAAGAGAAAAGAAAAAAAGAAAAAAAAAGAGAGAAAAAGAGAGAAAAAGAAAGAAAAGAAAAAAGAAAGAAGAGAAAGGAGAGAGAGAGAAGAGAAGAGAGAGAGAGAGAGAAAAAAAAGAAGAAGAAGAGAGAGAGAGAAGAGAAGAGAAGAAAAAGAGAAAGAAAAAGAGAGAGAGAAGAGAAAAGAGAAGAAGAAGAAAGAAAAGAAAGAAGAGAAAAAAGAGAGAAGAAGAAGAGAGAAAAAGAAGAGAGAAGAGAGAAAAAAGAAAGAAGGAGAGAGAAGAGAAAAAGAAAAGAAAGAAGAAAGAAGAAAGAGAAAGAAAGAAAGAGAAAGAGAGAGAGAAAGAGAGAAGAGAGAGAAGAGAAGAGAAAAGAGAAAGAAGAGAGAGAAAAGAGAGAGAAAGAGAGAGAGAAAGAGAGAAAAAAGAAAAAAGAGAGAAGAGAGAAAAGAAAGAAGAGAAAAGAAGAAGAGAGAAGAAAGAAAAGAGAAAGAAAAAGAAAGAAAAGAAAAGAGAAGAAGAGAAGAGAGAAGAGAAAGAAGAAGAGAAAAAAAAATGAAAAAAGAATGAAAAAAGAAGAGAGAGAAGAAAGAAAAGAAGAGAAAAGAAAAAAGAGAGAGAAAAGAAAGAAAAAAAAGAGAAAAAAGAAGAGAAAAGAGGAAGAAGAGAGAAGAGAGAGAGAAAGAGAGAGAAATTTTTTGAATGAAAGAAAAAGAAAAGAAAGAAGAAAGAAGAGAAGAGAGAAAAGAGAAGAGAGAGAGAAGAAAAAAAAGAAAAAGAGAGAGAAAAGAAAGAAAAGAGAGAGAGAAAAAAGAAAGAGGGAGAAGAAAGAGAAAGAAAGAGAAAGAGAAAGAAAGAGAGAAAGAGAGAAAGAGAGAAGAAAAGAGAGAAAGAGAAAAGAGAAAAAGAAGGAGAGAAAGAAAAGAAGAGAAGAACTGAGAGAAAAGAAAGAAGAAAAAGAGAGAAGAGAGAGAAGAAGAAAGAAGAGAAGAAAAAGAGAAAAGAGAGAAAAGAGAAAAAGAGAGAGAGAAGAGAGAAGAGAAGAAGAGAAGAAAGAAGAAAGAGAGAAGAGAGAGATGAGAGAGAGAAAGAAGAAAGAGAGAGAGAGAAAATGGAGAGAAAAAAGAAGAGAAAAGAGAAAGAGAGAGAGAAGAAAAAAAAGAGAAGAGAAAAGAGAAAGGGAAGAGAGAAAGAGATGAGAAGAAGAAGAAAAGAAAAGAGGAGAAAGAGAAAGAAAAAGAGAAAAAGAGAGAGAGAGAGAAGAGAAGGAGAAGAAAAAGAAAAGAAAAGAGAAGAGAAAAAGAGAAGAAGAGAAAGAAAGAAAAAAAAGAAAGAAGAGAAAGAGAGAAGAGAAAAGAAAAATGAGAAAGAGAAAAGAAAAAGAAAAGAAGGAAGAAGAAGAGAAAAGAGAGAGAAGAGAAGAAAGAAAAAAGAATGAGAGAGAAAAAGAAGAAGAAAGAGAAAAAAGAGAGAGAAGATTGAAGAAAGAGAGAAAGAGAAGAGAATGAGAGGAAGAAGAAAAAGAAAGAAAGGAAGAAAAGAGAAAGAGAAGAAGAAGAAAAAGAAGAAAGAGAGAGGAAAAGGAGAGAGAGAGAAGAAAGAAAGAGAGTTGAAGAAGAAAAGAAAGAGAGAGAAGAGAGAAAAGAAGAGAAAAAAGAGAAGAGAGAGAAAAAAAGAAAGAAGAGAGAAGAGAAAGAAGAGAGAAAAAAGAGAAGAGAAAGAAAGAAAGAGAAAGAATAAAAAGAAAAAGAAGAAGAGAGAGAAGAGGAAGAAATGAAGAAGAGAAGAAAGAGAGAGAAAAAAAAGAAAGAGAAAAGAAGAAGAGAGAGAAATGAAGAGAGAAGAATTGAAGAAAGGAGAGAAGAAGAGAGACTGAGAAAGAAGAGAAAAAGAAAGGTGAGAGATGAATGAAAAGAAAGAGAGAGAGAGAAGAAAGAGAAGAAGAAGAAGAAGAAGAGAGAGAAAATGAAGAGAGGGGAGAGAGAGAAGAAAAGAAAGAGAGAGAAAGAGAGAAGAAGAGAGAGAAAAGAAGGAAGAAAAAAAGAGAGAAGAGAAGAGAAGAAGAGAGAAGAAGAGAAGAGAATGAAAGAAAAAGAGAAGAGAGAAGAAATGGAGAAGAGAAAGAAGAAAGAAAAATAGATGAAGAAAGAGAAAGGAAAGAAGAAGAGAAGAGAAAAGAGAAGAAAGAGAGAGAAAAGAGATTGAAGAAAGAAAGAGAAGAGAGAGAAAGAAGAGAAGGGAAAAGAGAGGAGAGAAAAATGAAAGGGAAGAGAGAGAGAGAAGAAAGAGAAGAAGAGAAGAAGAAGAGAGAGAAAGAAAAGAAGAAATGAGGAGAAAGAGAAAGGGAATGAGAGAGAGAGAGAATGAAGAGAAGAGAAAAGAGAAGAAAAGAAAGAAAGGAGATGAAGAGAAAAGAAGAGAAGAGAGGAAGAGAGAGAGAAGGAAGAAAGAGAAGAAAAAAGGGAATGAGAGGAGAGAGAAGAGAGAGAAAAAAAAAGAAGAGAAAAGAAAAAGAAGAGAGAAGAAGAAAGGGAAGGAGAAGAGAGAGAGAGAGAGAGAGAAAAGAAGAAGGGGGAAAGAGAGAGATGAGAGAGAGATTGAAAGAAGAAGAAAGAGAGAAGAGAGAGAGAGAGAAAAGAAGAAGGAGAAAAAGAGAGGAAGAGAAGAGAAAAAAAGAAGAGAAGAGAAGAAATGAGAGAGAGAAGAGAAAAAGAGAAGAGATTGAAGAAGAAGGAAGAGAAGAGAGAGAAAAAGAAGAGGGAGAAGAAGAGAGAAAAGAGAGTGAGAGAAGAAAGAAGAAAAGAAAGAAAAGAGAGAGAGAGAAGAAGAATGAGAGAGAGAGAAGAGAGAGAGAGAGAGAGGAAAAGAAAGAAAAGAAAGAGAGAGAAAAGAAGAAGAAAGAAATTGAAAAGGAGAGAAAAAATGAAAGAAGAGAGAAGAAGAATGAGAGAGAAAAGGAAGAAGAAGAGAGAGAAAGAAAGAGAGAAGATTGAAAAAGGGAAGAAAAGAAAAGAGAATGAGAGAGAAAAGGAAGAAAAGAGAAAGAGAGGAAGAGAAATGATGAAAAGAAGAGAGAGAGAAGAGAAGAAGAGAGAGATGGGAGAGAAGAAAAAAAAGAGAGAAAGAAAAGGGAATGAGAGAAGAAGAGAAGAGAGAAAGGAAGAACTGAGAAAAGAAGAGTGAGATTGAAATGAAAGAAAAGAGAAAGAGAATGAGAGAGAAAAGGAATGAGAATCTCTTGAAAGAAAAGAAATGAGAAAAAAAAAAAAGAAGAATGAAAGAAGAGAAGAGAAGAACTGAGAGAAAAAAGAGGAGGAGAAGAAGAAAGGGAAATGAGAGGGAGAGAAGAAGAGAGAGAAAGGGAGAAAATGAGAAAGAAATGAAGAAGAATGAAAGGGAGAGAAAGAAGAGAGAGAAAGGAGAACTGAGAGAAGAAGAAAAAGAATTGAGAAAAGGGAATGAGAGAAGAAAAAAGAGAAAAAATTTGAAAAGATTGAATGAAAGGGAAGAAAAGAGGAGAGACTGATAGAGAGAAAAAGAATGGAGAGAATTGAATGTGAGGTGAATTGAATGAAAGGAAAAATAAAGAGAGAGACTGAATGAGAGAGAATAGGAAGAACTGAGAGAAACTGTTTGAGGTGAGATTGAGATGAAAAGGGAATGAGAGGAGAACTGAATGAGAGAAAAGGAAGAAAAGAGAAACTGAAGTATGAGAGTTTGAGATTGAAAGGAAAGGGAATGAAGAGAAGAATAGGAAGAATGAGAGAAGTATTGTGAGGAGAGAAATGAAAGGGAATGAGAGAGAGAATGAGGAAGAATGAGAGAAACTGAATTTTGAGATTGAATGAAAGGGAATGAGAGGAGAGACTGAATGAGAGAGAATAGGAAGAACTGGGAGAAAATGAATGTGAGATGAGATTGAATGAAATTGAAATAAAGGAGAGACTGAATGAGAGAGAATAGGAAGAAAACTGAGAGAAGAGAAGAAACAGAATTGAGATTGAAAAAGGGAAAGAGAGAGAGAGAGGAAGAAGAAGAAAATAAAAAAGAGAGTTGAGATTGAATGAAAGGGAATGAGAGAAGAATGAATGAGAGAGAATAGGAAGAACTGAGAGAAACTGTATGTAAGTTGAGATTGAATGAAAGGGAATGAGAGAAGAATGAATGAGAGAGAATAGGAAGAACTGAGAGAAACTGTATGTGAGTTGAGATTGAATGAAAGGGAATGAGACTAATAAGACCCAAATGAAAGAAACAATGATACGTCTTGATTTTTTTGCTAAATTGTATATATTTGATAATTTTCTTCACATGTTTTTAAAATTAAAAGAAAATACTTAAATTGTGTCAGATTTTGCCATCTCCTCTGTAACTAACATGAGACATGGAGTGCTGAGTTATATAGTATGAATGACAAAGAATCATCTGTGATCTTACTACAAACTGCATTTTTGCTTATTAACCATCTTGCAATGTGACAGTAAAAAGTCTAGAGGGTTTTTTTTGCCTTTTGCAAAAGACGTTAATGCTAAGGAAACACAATTTTAAATAATTTGTACAAAATTAGGGCCTTAAAAACAGGCATTTTGAAAGTATATATAAAAATATGTAAAAACATATTAAACAAAAGTTGGGGAGAGCAAGGATAAAAAAAATTACTGACTGTAAAGTGTTGGATCAAAAAATATGGCAACAAAATAAGAAAGAAAAAAGACCAACTAATTATCACTTCTCAGAGCCCAATCAAAGACAAAACATACAAATATGTGTGCAAAAAAATAAAAAAAAGGAGAAAAATGACTACCAGAGAATCAGCCATATAAATCACAGACATATTACATTTAGCAATTTGTGCACATATTTGTATTTTTTGTCCTCAATTCAGTCCTGAAGAGTGAGGAGCAATAACCAGTTAGCTCTTTTTGTTATGTTTTTTGGTCCACCACCTTATAGTGATTAATTTTTTTTATCCTTGATCTTCCTCCCTTTTTGTTTTATATATTTTTGTATATATTTATATATACTTCTGAAATGTCTGTTTTAAAGCCCTAATATGAGTAAATTTAGGCATAAAACAAAATCACTATTTTATTACTATTTCTATGGTAGATGTTCTGATGAGCTACATTCATTGGTTTCACCAGTTCAGACCATCACAGTTAAGACCCGTCATGCCATGTACACTGGGATGAAACTTTTCCATTCCCTTTGTATTCAATTTGTAAGTTTAATTTGGACAGCTTCTTCACAAGAACCAGTACTTTGTGGAACTAACTCTTGAGAGGAGGCTTCTCTGATTGCTATAATCTTAACCTCTTCATGTCTTGGGTCAACTCAGTGGCGAATTCAAACATATATTTTAGAAATGGGCTTTGCAGCCATAGGGATTTAAAAGGGTCTTCTAATCTTCGATCCTTAATAAAAAAAAGATATAACAACAGAGGAGATTTGTACCTATTTTATATACAAGTCTTCCCCAGTTCAATAAACTTTCGTATCAATTGCTTTTCAAAAGCTACCAACAATAATCAATGAACATACACGTATATATCTTTTTATTACTATAAATATTGTTTTAGTGGGTACCAGTGTTTGAGTAGACATCCTAGGTATTTTTATAGACATTAAATTTACTATCTAACAGACTAATAATCATCCTGGGTATGACGATAAACTACATCCATCAGCAAGATCTTTGATTGGGAGGTTTTGAACCACCTCTTAATTGCTGTTGTTCCCAAGTCCACTCTGACCCAGGGTGGTAGCAACTGTTAGGGTCCCAGTTACAGACAAATACTATGAAAGCAAAACAATAGATTTTTATAGTAAAAATACCAGCAATACATTTTTGAAAAAAAATATTACAAGCAATACATTAAAAAAGAAATTATCTGCAATATATTTGACTCTTGACAAAAACCATTTTTATAAAAATACATCAATGAAACCTGATCTACAAACTGATTTCTTACAAAGAATACATATTCTATTCATACAAACGTATCCTAAAAATCTTGTCGGCATTAAATAACCCATTGAAGTTGATGAGTTGTAAAACAAAATTAACCCAAACTCTGATCTGCAAACTGATTTCTTATAAAAAATACATATTCTATTCATCTGAACCTATACGAAAAATCTTGTTGGCATTGAATAACCCATTGAGGTTAATATGCCATAAAACAGAATAAACCAAACCAGCCTAATAATACATACATGTATAGACTTGTCTGGGTCATGAGGAGTAAGAAATTACAAAACTCTGAGTTGTTCTTCAATAAATATTGAGAATTTTCATTATTTTTTATATAATAATTATTGCTCTAGATAGCTAGAGAGCAGTCGATTGGTGGCATAAATTCTATTCACCTTGCTTGATAAATGTTGAATTATATAATTTTACATTTACTTCAAACATTATTACAATAGACACTTCTTATTTGAAATAGACATCCCATTTGAACTGAACTCACTAACTTTATGTCACCAAATTCACAAACCAACACTTTAATAGTCCGAATATAAATAGTGTAAATAACAATAACTCCCCATCCCATTTATTCCTGTCTTAATGATAAGTTTGAGGAGTTCAAGAAGGTCAAATTGGCAGATGATCTGAAGAATGAACTACAATCTGTTGTTTAATGGGGCAAGGAATGGCTTGTTATTTTGAACACCTCCAAAATGAAGTGCTTTCTTTTAATTATTTGAAAGAAGCCTTTTTACCTTCCATCAGTGTGGATGATGCTAACTTCCAGGAAAGTAACTCATTGCACCTTCTTGAACTGAAAGTTTTCTACTGACATGAAGTTGAAAGAGTATATTGAATCAATTGTTAAGTCTGCAGCTAGGAAAGTTGGTTCACCATGTTGTGCTAGATCATTTTTCTTGACAGAATCTATTTTACATGTTTACCAGTCATCCCTGTTTTGAATATTACTGCCACATCTGGTCTGTTGCTCCTGCTATATATTTAGATATTTTTGATAAAATCCAAAGAAGAATCTGCAATGTTATTGGTCCTGACCTGGCATCTTGGTTTCAGTCACTTTCCAACCACCGTAATGCAACTTCTCTGTGCCTTTTCTATAAATACTTTCATGGTAATTGTTCTGATAAGCATTCTTCTATGCTACCTAAAGTTCATGAATTTAGTACTAGATTGGGAGCAAGGTCTCATCATTTTACAGTTATAATGGCTGCAAGATGTAACCATAAATTCTATGCTAACAGTTTCTTCTATTGCACTTCTTGCTTGTGGAACTGACTTCCAGCTTCTTGCTTCCCAGTCAACTTTGATGTTCAAAAATTTAAATGCCATATCAATTGTTATCTTCTGTCTTCTTAATTCCTGTTCTTTTATTGTCGTCTCTTCTTAAATCATAATTTTTCTTATATTCTCTTAACACTTAATGGCTTTATTGCCTTGCTTGGGGTGGAATAATTAAAAAAAAATTCCAGAGATTCAGACAGAAATTTTCTTTATTTATTAGGCTTTCCTTGTATCTTCCAATGTTAAATCTCTATGAAACAGTAAACAGGCTACACTGATATTTTTAGCATTACTTTAGATTAAAACTTGCAATTATATGCAAAATTACACAAGACAAATTGCTTTCCTTTGCTATGCTACACAATAATTTCTTTGTTGTAGAAATTTGTGTATGCTGTCAAATGGTATTACAGAAATTGTTGCAATCCAAGCAGTTTAATAAGTTTATAGATTCTTTTTTGTAGTCATTTATTTCATATAAAGCATGTTATAGTATTAACTAGCAGTAAAGCCCGGCGTTGCCCGGGGATGTAACAGTAAGAGATAGATCAAGTATCGACCATCATAAAGACTGAAAAATAAAATTGACAAAGATTATTGTTTAAGGTTGACAGACACGCATGTCTTAATTAGTTTTTTTTTTTTTAACGAATTGGTCAAACCCAAACTCAAACAAAAACATTGTTTACAATCGTTATGAGTCTATCGATTGGTGAATAGAATTTTATTATGAACAATTGTCTTGTAAATGGAATTTTTAAAGCATTCTGAATGTAAATAAAGAAAAAAGTGTGCAAGACAATAAGAAATACTACCTGCCAAAAAAAAAAAGTGGATGTTTGTTTTATCGGCTGAAAAATGTAAGAAATCCGATCCCATATAAAGGAAACACACACACACACACACACACACACACACACACACACACACACACAAACAACCTGGGTTTTTAACCTAAGTCACTCCACGGAATCGCTAAAACATAGAGCATAGTCTGATGAAAAAAAAAAGTTTATGAAAACAAAATTTTATCGTCAAAATGCTTATTTTTTTATGAAGAGGATAGACTAAATTTTTTTTAATTATTTTTTAAAAATTTTTCCATCTTTTTAGAATATTCTAAATTTTGATTTAAAAACCTTGTTTTTTTGTCGCAACAAGGGGTAGTAAATAACATAGATAATTTTTAGTGCTTTTTTTTTGTATTTACACACATTAATTTGGAAAATCTTGCAAAAATAAAAATAATTGTCAGATGTTAATGAAACTTTCAGAAACTATTCACAGATGATCGAAATATTATAAATATGTTTTTTTTTTTATTAAAGTCATGGCAGAAATTTTTTTTATATTTATTAACCCCCATAACTAATTTTATGAAAAACTCTAGAAATTTGAGACCATCGGTTTTAGTGATTACAATAGTTAAAAAACAAGGCTTTGAAGAATGCAAATCATTTTTTTTTTTTTTTTTTTTGGCCAACGTACCTGAAAATCAGCTGTGAATTGTAACATACAAAACTCAATAAAACAAATATATTATTTAGTTTCAAATGCTTTTATTTGTTTTAATTTGTTTTTATGAATATGGACAATATTTTCTGAAAGCAAAAAAATTTTTTCAATGAAAATTGAATTTTTAATACAATTATTTCTTATTTCTTTAATTTTAAAAAGATTTTTAAAAAAATGTTTAAATTGAATTTTAAAAATATTTTAACATTAGTTAAAAGCAACATCAACCTTTCAAAATGTCCGTGTGAGATTGTCATTGTCTAGCGCTTTGAAAATTGTATAATTTGGACCAATCAGATTAAGCCATGGTAATTAAGAAATGTAATTTTGTGTTTATAGTCGGACAGTAATTATCAAGTACGGAAGACCAACCAGAATACAATTTAGTTGCATTATTTGAGTTCAG